TTCAATACACTTTAATATCTTCATCTTTATATATTTAATAAGCGATTGTGATGCGTGCAATAAAGTTCACAACACTACTCGCTAAACACTTTATGTGGCAGAAATCATGTTAATGATAATTACGATAGCTGACAAGATTCGGCATATATATTGATATTAGACGTAAAACTTGAGCATGAGATAAAGAACAGTTACCCAATGTTTTCATTGGAAGAATCACATTGAATGATTTCGATACAACAATAATAATTACTATGCTGTAATCGTGTAACTATTTAATTATTTAATTGCGAAGCATTATTTAATTAAAGATTTAGAGAGAGATCTAAACAAGCCTAACTGATTGTAACTTTAATATAAATCAGAAACTTCAGTGCATATCTAAATCGCGATATTAAAGTTTAGAGAGGAATGATATTAGTATGTTCGATCTTTAATATCAAAATTGAATTTTTTTTTTGCATTCTAATCAATTTCTTTATAGATAATTAAATAGTTACACGATTACAGCATAGTAATTACTAAGTAATGATTGTGAAAATTGTATTGAAATTATTTAATACAATTTTCTCCAATGTATATTATTCATTATCTCACACACATAAGTTTTTCATTTAATATCAATGAATGTAAAATGCTTTATATGCGGCTATCGTAGTTACTGTTAACATGATCTTATATCGTGATATTATGGACCCTCTATTAAATACATGAAAAAGGGGAAATTAAAACATAATAAAGAATAATGAAATTTCGTTTGTAACGTTAAGAAATGATTATCAGATACAAAAAGTAATTATTAGCATAGTCTCTATTAAAAATGTTTGAAACTATAAATAACGCATCTGATATTAAAATAATATTTTGCGATTGCATATAAAAATAAAAAGGAAGGAAGTAGTATACTTAGTTGCTATTTCTAAAAAAAAAATACATATGAGCGTAGAATTATGGAAAATAGAAACTTTTAGTATTGTCATTTGCAAAATATTAAAAAGAAAAAAAAGGTAAATGCTTGCTAAAAATAAAAAAAATGTTGGAAATTCGAAACGAATTAATTATTTACGTTTATAATATTGTTCAGATATAAAGTCAATATATGACTGGTGTAGCGGTTAGCAAGACTGTGTTTCTTTTAAAAGGATTTAAAAATTTTCTAAATTCCAGTAAGTATCCTAAAATTTACAATATATCTTTATGTCAGTGCGATGATTTATAACTTAATCTTGAATCACGGAATATAAATCGGCAATACATACATAAAACTAGAGTGAAGATTTCTAATTTATTGAAAATCGAAAAACTACGAGAAAATTTCTCGACATAAATAAATATATAATCTTTATTTCTCAGCAAAGTACTTTTTCACAAATATTCTTTCACATACAAATATATATTTCTTTTTTCATCAATTAATAATTACGCACTATTGATTAATAGTTACAGTTACATATTACATAATTATGTGTTCCTGAATTGGCCATTCAAATTATCAATTTTATTAAAAGACATCTCGTAAGAAAATTCAAGATAAAGTTACTTCGTGTAATCATTAATATCAAAAACAAGTAACATTTAATTAAATTGAAAGGTGTTAAATTTTCATTTATAAAATTATTTCTCTTACATTAATAATCCTTACTAGAAGAAACACTCAAGCTTGATACTACTTTTTTTTTATTTGCCGAAGGGGGATATACTATTTCCATTCTTTTATTAATACAATTTTCTACTGATTAATCTTCAAAAAATATGGAATACTCTGTACATGATGTTCTTGAAAATAATATGTGAAAAATAAAATTGTGTTTGCAGTCTAACAAGTAAATTGCTATCGCGATTATGTACTTCAACTTCAAATCTACATGAATAAAATATAAATAAGTAACATCTATTAATTTGCAAGATAAATGTGAGATATGAAGTAATATACATGTATTTTTCATGTGTATGTGATTTGCAATATTCCTTTGGCTAATGAAAAGACTGATATCTTAATTTTGATGTGATATTCGACTATATATATACCTTTTTGTAATATATTACACGATCATCGTATCTAATACTTCTCTAAGTGCCTAATTTAACTTTTCGATATGTTATAAAAATAAGAAGTAATTATAATTGTAAAGTCAGTTTGCAGGCATCAAATTTATGTCACTTAGAAAAATTTGCATCAGTATATTTTTCTGTCGAAGTTAACGGTTTTCTAAATTTATAAACTAAAAACAACCTTCTGTAATCCAATTTTCTTGTTAAATAAATGCAATGTTTATACATATATAGCGTATGTTTACTTTGTTCTATTCCCTTACGATAGAAATTAATAACTATTATATATCAATTATTACGGCCGCGACAATTGCTCGGGAATATTAAGGACTTTTTATTTTTTTAATTTATGAAGATTTCTCTTAATACCTTAAATTTCTCAACTTTTATAAGTTTTTTTATCAACAAAATAATCGCCAGCAGAATAGTAGAAAAATACCATTTAAATTAAATATACATTTAAATGATCAACAGATCATTTAAATGTATATCAAGATTCTATTCGGTTTCTGCTGTCAATTTGTATTCTGTTAACAAATTCGGTTACATTTTTTCTGTCAAAATTTGTAGACAATTTGCGAAAATTCTGCTTTCTATATATAAAGAGGTGGGACAGCTGTCTTTCGACATCCTCGAAAAATTATTTTTATTGGAATATATCAAAAGAAGATAGAAGAATATTCATGAATGTTTAAATTACTTGTATATTTTTTACGCGCAACGTGTAAAATATATATATATTTAGAGTAAATATTTCAGAATCTACCAATAATCATATTTTTTATTGATAAACACACAATTTAGGTTTTCCAATCCAAAATTAAATTCCTCAGTGGTGTTTCATTAACATTTTGTATTTACTGTTTAATATAAAATTAAATTAAGTTCTACACGGATTATATACATTTTTTTACTACATTTTTATTTATTATTATAAATTTTTTAAAATAATTCTATATTTTTCATTTTTCTTTCTTATTTTCATTATCTACTGTTGTTATTATATCTATCTTGTTATTATATCGTTCGTAAATCGTAAGATTTAAATATTATAATAATGTCATTACTTAAGGAAGAAATTTATTCTGTACTTTTATGGGGAGCATAATACGATTATAGTGGCATATTAGACGGCTGTTCGAATTGTTTTGAATGTAATCTATATTCTCTGTTGATAAGTCCATTCGCAGAAACACTACTTATCTCCTAAACAAATATCAAATAAAGGTAACTGCTAACATTCCCTTGGCTTCCCTATATAATATATAAGATATTAATTCTTATATTAGCTTGAATATATTATACTATATTTATTAAAAATTAGTAAAAGAACAGTATAAATATTATTGTTTCACATATTATGCTTCTACCTCTTTTCCTCTTTTGATCGTTATCAAATTATCATTTTATTTATTTTTATTTTCTATTTTTTTCTCATTTGTGGACACCCCTCATTTAATGTTCGACACTCATTTTCAGCATCAAAACAGGTTACATGATCAAAATTAATGCTGGATTATATAAATTAAATGTATAAAAATAATGTGTGTGTGTGTGTGTGTGTGTGTGTGTGTGTGTGTGTGTGTGTGTGTGTGTG